AGGCTTTTTATTCCAGGTGATCAACGATGTAGATACCATTCATCAAAAACCAGTGCTGGATAGTACCGTAACCCTGTTGCATGTATCGCCCGGCAATTACAAGTTACGGCTGATCGTGGACGAAAACAAGAATGGCAAATGGGATACCGGTGATCTTTTTGGCAAGAAACAACCGGAACTGGTGATCCCATACACACTGCCTATTATGCTGAAGCCGGGCTGGGAAAACCAGGTGGACTTTGAGCGCGCGCCGGACCCCGTGAAAAAATCACCCGAAAAATCGCCTGGCCGGATAACGGAATAATCCGTATCTCGCTTTATCTTCACCGGCATGAAACGTATCTTACTATCACTTTCATTGCTGGCTGCATTACCGGCACTGGCGCAGGACCAGATGACTCCCGAGTTGCTCTGGAGCCTAAAACGTGTAAGTGCCAATGAGCTGAGTACTTCCGGCAAAACACTGTACTACTCCGTAAAACAGGTCGACTGGAAGACGGAGAAGAGTACGGTGAAGCATTATCGAATGAATCTCTCTGTAGAAGGTGGCAAGGAAATTACTTACAAGTCCGGTCTGTCCGTTATTCAGCGAAATGGTAATACCTGGTACGCACTCGATAACGGGAAGCTGGTACGCAGCGAGAACCGTGGTGATAACTGGAAGGTGATCTATTCCAACCTGGAAGGCGCCAATGATATCCGCATCTCACCAGACGGCAAGCATATTGCTTATTCAAAAGAAGTGCTGATCCGCAAAATGGATGGTACCGACCTGTATCCGGACCTGCCCAACACGACTGCTAAAGTATACCGCGACCTGAATTTTCGTCATTGGGATACCTGGGAAGACGGCAAGTACTCCCATATTTTCATAGGCCCCATCTCCGATGATCGTGCTACCGTAGATATTATGGGCAACGAGCCTTATGATGCACCACAAAAGCCTTTTGGTGGAGCCGAAGACTTTATCTGGAGTCCCGACAGTAAAGGCCTGCTGTACGTGTCTAAGAAAAAAGAAGGGAAGGATTATGCACAAAGTACCAATACCGACCTGTACTACTATGAGCTGGCTACCGGTGAAACAATCAACTGGACGGCAAATATGATGGGCTATGATACCAATCCTTCTTTCAGCCCCGATGGGAAAAGAGTAGCCTGGGTAAGCATGAAGCGCGATGGTTTTGAAAGTGATAAGACAGATATCTATGTAATGGACCTGGATCGTAAAAGCATGAATAAGCTCAACCTCACTTCTGGCTGGGATGGTGCTGTCAACGATTTTTGCTGGAGCAAGGATGGCAACCGTATTTTCTATAATGCCGCCTGGCGTGGTACCGTTCAGTTGTTTGACGTGCAGGTACCGCAAAACCTGCATGTGCGTATGATGCCCGCAGTAAGCAAGATCACCGAGGGGATTTTTGATGTGAACGGCATAGTTGGGCAGGCTGCTGATGGTAGTGTGATCATAAGCCGCACGGATATGAACCATGCTGCCGAATTATTTGCAGTGGATATTGCCAATGGCAACATGCGCAGCTTAACGCAGGAAAATGCTGCTGTTTATGATAAGATCACGCCCAGCGAAACAAAGCTGCGTATGGTGAAAACCTCTGATGGCCAGAGCATGGGCGTGTGGGTTGTATACCCGCCTGACTTTGA